ATGGCCTGTAGTTTGTATATAAAGAAGACATCGTTGCTTGTTCTTCAGTCTTCTACTGGTTCGAATAAAGTTCATTACCAGAACGACTTAACGAATCAGTCATTTTTCATCGACATTATTTATTCAAGAATGGAAACAATTTTCCGACCAACTTTCCTCGTCGCCGTACTTGGTATATTAGGGGTAAGTTTTTTCACTCTGAATCTTATTAATTTTTTTTTCTTTATGGGGGTAGAGGGCTATTTTGGTGTTGGTTTTAGGGGGCAATTTTCCGATTTCAAAATTATTAAAGTAAATAATTTTACCCATTGGTTTTCTACGGCTTATCGACCCTGATAGCGTGTATCACCTAATGGCACTTAACTGACTGAATGGTTTTAGTGATACAAGTCTTATTAATTAACCCATAGCTTGGGGAGAAGAGGTAGATTCATATCTTTCCCAAAGGTACTTGCGTGTAAGTGAATATAACAAACGAAACTGAAATTGGAACTCGGCTCTCTGATTAACAATTCCGAGCCATTATCCATTACACCATCCGCACATCCAAGCTTATATCACCTTGTATTCATCGGTCAGCGGTCTCGGGCTCAACGTTGCTTAACTTGGTTCATCGTATGGAAACCAGTATTTTCAGCGTGCTGTGGCCTTAAGCCAATATAGATTTATGTTTTGTTTTTTATTTGCTCTCCAGATGTTTAAAATATTGCCCGCTCTAAACGTACATAATTTTTGTAGAACATACAAAATGGTTTAGTATGCGATATTTTCGACAAGTGGTGTGTTTTAAACAAAGCCTTCGTCTGTATGCGAGCGTAGATACAACTATATACAGATGAAGCTAGGGTTGACAAGTTCTCGGCCCGACCAGGAAGAATTCAGAATTTTCTCATTTAATAAGATTAGGGTATTTTCTTTAATAAGAATATTCAAAACGGTAGACAAAATAAAATATTGTTTAAAATAAACGTTTAAAGTGAATATATATATATATATTTGTAGGTCTGATGAATTGGATTGTAATTACGATTCCAATGTAATAAATTATAACCATGGAATATAAGTGTTTAAAACATAAAAATATATATTGTATAGGCAACAGATCATAGCTGTGCCAGAAAAATAAAAATGTAGTAAGAAATAAATACCGTTTTATTATTCGCACGTGCATATATATATGTATATATATATTTTATTTAAAATATAATTCCATCGCCACACAGAAATTACTATGTTTCGAAACTGACTCAAGTCATATAGTTTAATTTCAATATTAAACCTAAAATTTGGAACACAATTTCATTGGTTGGAAATGGAGGTGTCAGCTGGGGTTTTCTTTTGTTATTACGGGGTCTCTAGTCTGATGAAAGTATGAACGTTTATTATATGTCAATTTTTGGGAGGTCGTGTAAGGTTCGGTTGGAGATTTTTGTCTGGTTACACGGGCTTTTTTCCCAGACTTTGTTGTTTTTATTACTATTTGTTAAAACTTACTGATTGATGTTCTAGTTGCAGTCTTTTTTTTCTGGTGTTTATTTATTTGTTAATCCTATACATGTATGAAATTAATTTAATTTGCTAATAGATTTTATATGGTATTGTGTAATTACTTTATATATGGTATCGTGGAATTATATATATATATATATATATATATATATATATATATATTAGATTTAATTTCTATTGTAATTTTTTTCTTATCCATTTGTAAATTAGTAATTTTTAAGGCGAATATTTGGTGGGGTCTAAAAAAACTGCTATTTCATTTCTTTGATTTAATAAATTTTTGTTTTTTTAGAAACTTGATAATGTGTATTTTTCATGTAGGCATAAAATGCATGGGTCAGCCCCCCCCACACACACACACATATATATATATATAGGAAGAGTAATACAAAGAAAATTAGTAATTTAGCTGACTGAGATAAACGTCATTCATCTAAGTGACAAACTTTTACATATATTAATGTTATTAATGGCCTATGTCTGATATTGAGCACTTTATTGCAAAGATTAACTTGCCTTAAATGTCTTTTCTTTCAGACATTTATACATATATATATATATATATATATATGTATGTATATTTGTGTGTGTGTGTATGTGTATTAATGTCGAAAAGCCTTTTATTGACAACTCGTTTCGCCTTCGTAAGGTAGTCAGGTAGTCGTCTCCAGATCGAAATGAGAGAGAAATTTGTCTGTATTTTTACATGGGGAAATGATCGCGCCATTGTAAATATTTCCTTTAACCTATATTTTATTTCTGCTTTTTTTCAGATGGTCATTGAAGCTAGGCCCCAAACAAGTAAGTATATTTTCATGAAATTTGTTCAATATTTCTCCTAAAATAGACTTCACTTTAATATAAAAATGAACGTCCAATATAAAATTATATCAAATTATATTAATATATATTTATTATAAATGTTATATAATTATTAAATTTAAATAATTCTATATAATTTATATAAAATTTGAAATTTATATAAAGTTTACGTAATTTATATAAAATGCATATATAAAGTTATAAAAATATAAAATATATAAATTATAATTATAATTTTTTAAATTATATAAAATTTATATAAATTATAACATTTAAAATTTATATAAACTATAACATATAAATTTATATAAAATCATACACACAAAATTTATAAAAAAATTATAGCATATAAAATTTATATAAAATTATAACATAAAATTTATATAATTTATAAAATCTGTGTAAATTATACAAAATATATATATAAAATTATATAAAATAAAAATTGAACGTTTAATATGAATATGAATGTTCTTTTCTTTAAATCTAAAATTTTCTATAAAATCAATGAAAATAATTTTTGAAATAATTACAAAAATTACCTTACCTAAATCAAGATCTTTTTAACTATTTTCAAAATAGATTTTGCTAAAAAAATATTCTAAAAATAAATTTTTAAGACAATATTTTGTTAAAAAGACATAATTGGATTGTGATGGGCATCATTTAAATTTCCTATTTTCTTCTTATTAGAATTATATTGTAGAAATATATAATGATATAGTAGCCGGAGGTGTGAGTGAGAAGAAGCTCCTTCTGTCTCTAAAATGCTTTCGTGACATTCATCTCAAATAGGCTCTGGCAACTAAGTTCATCTTCAAGCAGGAGAATGGACAAAGGCGTACAACTGTCGCCTCATAGCCAGCTGATTCAGGTAGATAAAGCCAGACAGCCCAGGAAGGCAGTACATCTAGGGGAAAGAAAATCGTGATTTTTAATCTCCACGTCTTTGCGGTCATATCCAAAACGCGGAAAAAGACTATGGGAGTAAATCCAGACAGAAAAGTGGTGACCTGAAGGCGGTTGACTGTCAACACTGACAACTTTTTGACAAATCTTGCAGCCAAGCCGTCTGCAAATGTAATTCCCTTTTTGATCTTTGAATCTTGTCGGTACGGCCGGGAGGAGGAATATAACATGAGCAGCGCATGGCTTCCATATGTCATTGCCCAGGCCTGCACCCTGGAAAGGTCCCTCACAGTCTCACCACCAAAGGACTAAATTTTGACCAAACAGGGTAATACCATTATTATCTCGGGTGATTCTTGGGCCCCGTATTGGGCAAAGTAACCGTAAAAAACATTCTCAAATCATTATAATTCAAAAATATAGAAAAGTGCGTAAAATAAACAAATATTTGAATTCGAATAAAGATGTCTCAGTATTAAAACGATTCTTAATAAAGATTTTTTCTCCAATTTCCAGAATGCATAGAAAAAGCAGCCGACATAATGTTCGTTTTGGATTCCTCGAGCAGCATCTGGATTGTCCATTACAAAGAGCAGCTCAACTTTGTCGCAGACCTTGTTGACAGTTTCGGCATCAACAGTAGTAAATCGAAAATCCGAGTCGGCGCCATAACCTTCAGTGATCGAGCCTACCTGGAATTTCCTTTAGGCCGTTACACAGACCCTGCTGAATTGAAAAACGCCATCTTAAATATCGTTCACAGACATGGATCAACGAATACGGCCGATGCTCTGAGGTTGCTTAAAGAACAAGTTGAACCTAATTTGAAAACTAATGAAGGACCAACTATAGCCGTTGTGATTACAGACGGAAAATCAGCAAACAGATTTAAGACTGAAAAAGAGGCTAAGAAACTGCATCAACTTGGAATTCATGTTTATGCGATCGGTGTGGGCGATTCCACTAAATATGATATTGATGAGTTGAAGGCCATTGCAAGCGACCCCGATCACGGTGTATATACTGTGGAAAGTTACACAGAGTTGAAGAACATTAAACGAACATTCAACGTTAACCCATGCAAAGGTTTGTATTAAATTATTTTTTTTTTTTTACTAGAAATTCTTTTATTTGTCAGAACGTTTGAGATAAGTAATTATTCTTCGAACCATTGTACGATGGAGTAACAGTCATTGGCTCGAAATAAGGAATCAAAGAGTTGATTCCAATTCATGCTCATTGCATTCACTTACTAACAGCCTTGGGAAAGATATATATCTATCTCTTTCCTCCAGCTATGGGTAAAATAACAGGACAGATTCCTGTCCTATAGTCTCTAGAATTAGATGGATGAAATCAGTATGCTATAATAAATTGTTCGACCTAGTAACGTCAACTTGATACCTATAGTGATTTTGATATGAATTTCAGAGATGACGAATTGATTTTCTAGGAATAATGTCCGCGACTTGCTTCTTATAGTCACAATGTTTCCGCCTTTGTACCAAACGGCCTTCTTCAGGTCGGGTAGTACAAAAATTTGAGTGAGGCGATAAGCGATATATACACGGGCTAATACCAATTATCTCCCTTTGCACGGACAAGGGAATAACAGCAATCACTTGATACGAGTTATCTCCCCTGACATTGCCAATGCTACGAGAACAATCGACTCACGTGTGTTGAATAAAGGATTTACTTTAAAATTTCTGGAAGATGAAAAAATGAAAAAAGGTCGGAGTATAACGGTCGAAATTTTGTTTCTGTAACAATTAGGTAAATAATAATACAGCCATTTTTAAAAAATATTATTGTTAACTTGTTTCTTGAAGCGTATAGCGGATTAATGAAACCCGCCGACAACGGATGGTATCGCTTGTGAAAATGATTTTTTAATTATTTTTTTTTATATATAATGTTGCTCTTCGGCCCTTCGTGGATTTCAGAGCCCGTGACGTTTCAAATATTTATTCAGCCTCTAGTTTTCAGGAAAATTTGCATAATCAGTGAGAAATTAATTTGCCTAGGCCTAATAATTTAAGAAAGGATGTATCTTTCTCATTTGAAAGAAATGATAATGATTTGTAAATATTGCAAAATATCTGCGTATTCATTAAAACTGGAATAAATGCTAAAATTTATTTTTATAATGGACTTATTCTTTTTTCAGACGAAACACCGAAACCAATGCCTACCACCACCACCACCACTGAAGCTCCTACTACTACCACCACCACTGAAGCTCCTACTACTACCACCACCACTGCAGCTCCTACCACTACCACCACCACAGCAGCTCCTACCACTACCACCACCACAGCAGCTCCTACCACTACCACCACAACTGCAGCCCCTACTACTACCACCACAACTGCAGCCCCTACAACTACCACCACAACTGCAGCTCCTACCACTACCACCACAACTGCTGCTCCTACCACTACGACAACTAAGGCTCCAACCACAGTGAAGCCCACCAGGGAAACAACTGAAGAGAAACCACGTAAGTTCATTTCGATTTTGAATAGAAAATGACAAGAATTAATTCTCATTTTCAAATTATTCTATTGTAATTATTCCTGTTCTTTGTTTATTTAGTTCGAAAGACAGATATGTCCCACCAATACCTCATAAATAATGGACTATTCCGTTTTGATCTCATTGGAAAGAGGGGAAAGGGGGATAGTAAGTGGTTTCAGTGAAAGAAAGAAAAAAATTAAAAAAGAAAGAATGAAGGAAAAATTAAGAAAGAACGAAAAAGAAAAAATTAAAAAAGAAAGAAAGAATGAAGAAAAAAATTAAGAAAGAAAGAAAAAGAAGAAAGAAAGAAAAATAAAAAATTAAGAAAGAAAGAAAGAAAGAAAAAGAAAAAATTAAGAAAGAAAAAGAAAAAATTAAGAAAGAAAGAAGTGATTAACATCTTCATAAATAATGGAGTATTCCGTTTTGATTGCGTACAAAGAAAGAAAGAAAGAAAGAAAGAAAGAAAGAAAGGAAGGAAGAAAGGAAGAAAAAAAAAGGAAGAAAGAAAGAAAGAAAAAGTGTTTAACTGCTGTTTCAATGAAATGGAAAAAGTTCTCAATTTCAAATCTTTTTATTTGTACCCCCTTACTTCTTGAAATAACAACCAACATTCATACTATTGATAATTTTCTAAGGGTAGCCCGGATGATCAAAACGAGCGTTCATATTTATGATTGTTATTGCAATATTTTGTTAAAGTTGTTAAGCTCAAATATTTAACGATGCTACAGGGGAATTTCTACGCAATGAGTCTATGCAATCATTAACTGAAAATCTGAACAAGTTACTGAGTACCAATGTCTTTTACGATTTCAGTCCTTAAACACTTAACTTTGTGGCACTTTTGATGTAGCATTTTCATATTTCACTTAATAATTCTTCAATAATGCTTTTTAACACAATCTCCATATTTGTTATATCGTTTTTTTTATTTCGTTTCTTTTTAGAAAATGCCCAACCTGACCATTTAAGAAAGACACAATCAAGTAAGTATTAAAATAATCCTTTTGTGATTTGTTTATACATTTAAAAACCGCTAAAGGAGACCCTCTCGACTGACATGAAGTGAAAAGACTACATTGAATACATCTGTCTTCCATCAGTATGGCTGATGCTAACCTCCAGGAAAGTGACACGATGCGCCTTCTCGGGCTAGCATTCTCAGCTGACATGAAATAGAAAGGCTATACTGAATCCATTACTAAGTCAGCTGCTAAGAAAGTTTGTTCCCTGTGTCGTGCTAACCAATTTTTCTCTCTGGAATCTATCTTACATAACTATAAGTCTACTATTCGTCCATGCTTAGACTATTGCTGATACATATGGTCTGGTGCTCCGGTTATATATCTAGAGATCCTTGATAAAAATCCAAAGAATTAGCAATATTATTGGTCCTGGTCTAGCAGCTCGGCTTCAGTCACTTCCCCACCGCTTGTAAAGTTGCCTCCCTCTGCCTTTTTCTATAAATACATTCATGATAATTGTTCAGATGAGATCTTTGCTATAGTACCTAGACTTTATGAATTTAAGCATGGTACTAGACTGACCTTAAGATCTCATCAATTTAGGTGTCCCTCTGAGCTCTATCCTTGGACCTACGTTTTTCTAATTTCCAAGTCTGTTGCTAAGAAAGTGGGCCCACTGCGTCGTTCTAGAGAATTTTTCTCACCAAAATCTATCTCACATATTTATAAGTCTACCATTCGACCTTGCTTAAAATATTGCTGCCACATCTGATCTTGTGCTTCTGATATATATTTAGAGATTCTTGATCAAATCCAAGGAAGAATCTGCAATGTTATTGGTCCTAACATTGCATCTCGGTATCAGTTGCTTTCCCACCGCCGCAATGTAGCTCCCTTGTATCTTTTCTATAAATACTTTCATGGTAATTGTTCTCATGTACTTTCCTCTGTGCTACCTTGACTTTAGGAACTTAAAGCACAGTACTAGATTGGCGGCCAGGTTTCACCATTTTACGGTTAGATGTAACCGTAAGTTCTATGCCGGGAGTTTCTTCTATCTCACTTCACGCTTGTGAAACTGTCTTCTTGCTTTATGCTTTTCAGCCAAATTTGGTCTTCAAAAATCCAAATACAATATCAAACGCTATCTATTCCTCTTCTGTTGCTCTCCTTTGTAATGTTTCTGTCTTCTAATTCTTCCACACCCAGTAAGCCTTTGTGTCATAGTGGATTTACTGATTTGCTTAGGGTGAACTCGATGTAAAAAAAAAATATGAAAAGACCATTTTAGTAATTTTGAAGGTTTTTGCATGTGTAATCTTCAATGTTTATCTCTTTTTTAACTATTTTAGTAAAAAGATACGCAGAGAGCGCTAAACCGTAAAAAAAAATGTATTAGCAGCCTGATATCCCTACCTAGTAACTGTCGTTAAAAAGCGTAACAATTTTATAATTTAATGAATAAACAATTCTTACAAAACAGGTGTAAGTGTGTGGAGTGGGGGTTCTAGTTAACGCCTCCCGTAAAAAAAAAGAAGGAATTATTTAAATAATTTAACACTTTTATTGGTGTATTTTCGTAATAAACAAATTAGGATTTCTTATCAATACAATTAAATCTATTGTTGCAAGTAATAAAAATTAAATTATTAAAAATAAAAAATACCTTAAGAAAGCTAACACAAAAAAAAACAATGTATTAGCTTCCAGATCTCCTTACTTACTAATTGTCTTTTTAAAAAAAGTATATTAACGCATTAAAAATACTTACAAAATATTTTCTTTTTTTTTCTTTTGCAGGCATTATCCTGTTCGGTTACGACCTCGTTGGTATGGGAGCCTATCGTTCTGGTATGATTCACCAATTTATCAACACTATCCTTCCACACACCGGCTATGGACACTTCGGTATTGTCTCCTACGGCTACTGCCCATCCAGTTTCAACGTCCCCATCACATCTCTTATGGACAAGAACCCGTCAATTATTAAAGACAGCGTCGTTACTGACGGTAAACTGCCCGATCTTGTAGATGTCGTCCGAAAAATGAGACATGTCTTGTCTACCCGTTCTGCCCAGAACGGCATCAGCGGCCATATTGAAAACCAGGCAGCCGTTTTGTTTGTCGATCCGTCCGTCACCACCATTACCCCAGAACTGACCAAGGAAATCAAAATGCTTAAAAAGAATGGAGTCCAGCTATATTTGGTCAATGTCGGCCGGTGCGCATGGCCACAGCCTGATCAGCTTTACTCTATGGGCAGTCAACCCTACCACAAGTACATGTTCAATTCTCCTCATACCACCAATTGTTACTCCAAGCTCAACACACCCTCTCCATTTCAGATCAATCTATAATAAATCCATCCCAAATCGATTCATATCCTAAACAATGAATCTAAATTAACATATCAACTACAATGCAAGACTTTTATTTTATGAAATTTTTATCAGTTTCCATACGTAACTATTTCATCAGAATTTCGATCTCGTTTTAAAACTTTTTCAGTAAAAATGTTCACAACACGTGGGTTCGAATCCTACCAGAGCTTAGTTTATTTTGCAAATATTTTATAAACATTAAAATTTACCCAAAAAACATATTTCGGAAATAGTTATTATTGGTGTTTTACAATGCAACGATTTTTAAAAAAAAAATTCCGCCTTACTTGTAGTAAAATTACTCCTAAATTAATTTTATATGAGCAGAAAAACGTCAAAATTAAGAGTCATATTGTCTGTATATATGTGAAACGCATTCATCCCCTAAAGAGGATTAACGTTGCAGGCAACTTAATCTTATTTTCAACTGAAAACTCACAAGTCGTCAAATGCCTCAAGGATTGTTTTATTGTTTTTATTTTTTAAAGGAAAATAAATTTTTATATTAAATTGAAACTGTATTTGTTTTGTTGTATTCTTTGTTTGTTGTATGAAGTTGGTGGGTGTGAATGTTTTATCAATTTCCATACGTATTTCATCAAAATTTCTATCTCGTTTTAAAACTTTTTCAGTATTTGCACGACACATGTTTTTTGTTTTTTTATTTTGACAAAATTCACCTGTATAGCTAGCCATTCGTATTCAAGGAAATCCCTATTGCAGTTGCTTGCTCAGGCGCATTTGTGTTTATTCAATAGCCACAGAGCCCACCTGTGATTTTATACTGCAACTATGCTAAGCAAACGTTAGTTACAGTTTCTGGGAAAGAACGTGTAATCTAGAGTGATCAACAATCTGAACAAGGCCAACACGCTCAAGCCCTCAGCCACGATGACTTCTGACTTGGTGCTAGCACAGCTATCGACTGCCCCCAGGCGTTCTGTCTACCCAATTTCACTCACAAGGCTTGGGTCAATGCGTGTTATGGTTTTTCAGCTGGACACTCGTATTCGATGATACCCGTCTACTAGAGCGGCTAGCCAATCCCTATTGCAGACGCTTGCTCAGGCGCATTTGTGTTTATTCAATAGCCACAGAGCCCACCTTTGGTTTATATTGCAACTATGCTGAGCAGACCATAGTTACAGTTTCTGGAAAAAGCATGTTATCTAGCGTGATCAACAATTTGAACAAGGCCAGCACCTTGAAACCCTCAGTCACGATGACTTGTGACGGCCCCAATTTCACTCACAAGACTTGGATCAGCCATTTTCCAAAGGTGCCGCATTCTGGCATCTCCACCTCCAGTCCAATAACGACACCAACAAGGTCTCCTTCCTGACAAATCTACCATGAGATTCGAACCCGGGTCTCCTGGTCAGAATACAAACGTTCTAACCATTCGGCCACGTTCCCATATTTTATTAATTTCTATACGTAACTATTTCATCAAAATTTCGATCTCGTGTTTTTCTTTGTTTTTATTTCACCAAAATTCAACTGTACAGCTGGCCACTCGTATTCGAGGATATCCCTATTGCGGGCGTTCGCTCAGGCACATTTGCGTTTGTTCAACACCCACAGAGCCCACCTGTGGTTTATACTGCAACTATGCTAAGCAGACGTTAGTTACAGTTTCTGGGAAAGAGCGTGTTATCTAAAGGGATCAACAATTTGATCAACAAGCCCTCGGCCACGGTGACTTATGACTTCGTGTTAGCACAGGTTTACAGCTAACACGAAGTTTACCAAAATTCGCCTAATAAAATACTTGAGACCTACTCAAAATAGGGGGTTACGGTTAAAATGGTTATGGTGAAAGAGGGTGTGTGAAAGGCGAAATCATCGTAAATGACCATAATGAGAATAAGTAACCATTTATGATTGACCCTTGACCTTCAAAATTCACTTATCAACACTTCTGAATAATAACAAAATATATTGTCACTCTTAACAACGTGGGTAAAATACTATTAATATTATTATATTGGACATTAAGTGGGGGTTCTGTTTTCTTTTGTTAGTAAGTAATAAACTGATCCCTCTTATATATTAATATAATATCTGAAAAAATATATTTAAAATCCCCCATGTGAAAACCTTCAAATAATTGTAAGGACGTAACAAAATATTCTGTCATTTTTTTTTTTACATCATGCGGAAACTAATATTATTATTATATTGGACATAAAGTGGGAGGTCAGTTTTTCATTGTTAGTAAGAAGTAAATTCATCCTCTGAATGATTATCACATACGTATATAATAGTTAGAAAAAAAAGCCACTCAAGTAAGAGGATTACTGTTAAAAGGGTCATGATGATTAAGGTGCGTGATATGAATGAAAATTCATGCAGAGTGTAGAATAGGTTTTATTTGTTATGAATACACTCCAACGGGTGCGCAGGATCGCCTCATCGGTGATGTTATGACTTGGGGTCATGACAAGTTTCGGGTCTTTCAACATCATACTTGTTCACCCTAGAGCCCCTACCGGAACAATACCTATTCCGGCAAGCGATCATGAAGCAAATATACACCAAGCACACAAGAACAGGCATATAAAGAACTGCCACTGCTGATCTTGAAAAAGAAAACGACCAATCAGAAACACCCTACGTTACTTCCTTCTCAGCCAAGACGAGACAACAAAAAAAGAGAACAAACTGAATATGCTGGTCTTTTTCCCTCTTAGGTCCAACACGTGGAAAGACCCACACTCTCAATGAACACTGCTTGACATTCCCTCATACCACCCCCGACTTTTCCTCCTAGAGACGCCTATGCAACCCCCCTCTCCCCGGGGGCCTATGTCCGGACAGGAAAACAAAACCGTATCGGGGAACAGGTTAAAATAAAATAAAAAATTCAAAAATTTAAAAAAAAAAAAAAAGAAAGAAACACCCCTCCCTTCAAACAGCGACATTGGTCATCTCTTTATATATATTTTATTTTCCTTTCTTTAAACACAATACCTCGTAAACAAATTTGAATTCTTTCTACAGTAATAGACATTGTCCTATTTTCAAACCCCACGTGAAATACAATGTAAACCCCTCCTTAACCCTAAAAATCAAAGGTACGGTCGTCAAAAACATATCAATGTTTCTTTTTCTTGTTCATTATTTTTAAGAAAATAAATTTGTATATAAACTCAAATGAGTTTTTTTTTCTTTTTTGCATTCTCTATACTGCTTCATTTCACTTAATCCAAACTTAAATTTTGTTTAATCTAACTTGCCTGAGTAGAAACTATGAATGAAATATTCTTGTATTATTTCCAACTATTGTTTTCAACAAAGTTGAGATTGTGATTATCATAAACACAACGTTTCGACCAAGTACGCTTTGGTCATCATCAGATGTGCATCGATTGGCTGATATAAGATGTCTGTTGATTATTGTTATATTCTCTCCCCGTGGTGTCAGTTATTGTTCGTTCCCGCTGAATTGCTGCTTCACTACCTAATCTAAGGATTGAACTCTGGACGACATTAACACATGTATAATCTCGTCAGAATCCATTTTGCACATTTATAAATCTATCGTTCATCCGTACATTGAATGCTGCTGCTGTCATATCCTGTCTGGTGCATCTGCTATATATCTCGAGATTCTTGACAAAATTCAAACCATGGTCTGGCATCTAGACTTTGGTCATATCTCCACTAACGTGACGTGGCTTCCTTTTCTCTACTCTACAAATATTTTCATGGTAACTACGATGTAAGCTACGATGTGCGGGTGGTGTAATGGATAATATCACAGGAATTGTAAATCGGAGAGTCAAGTTCCAATTCCAGATGGGATCGTTAGATTCACTTACCCACAAATACCCTTACGGAAAGTATAAATCTACCTATTTACACGCCCCACCAGATATGGATTAATCAGTAAGTATTCTAGCACTAAATTATTATTATCGCCACATGAAAAAATTCTTAGGAGAAAGATTTTCGGTATTTTAAAAAAAAAAAGGGTTGATAAACCGTAAAGAGTAAATAGAGAGAAAGAATGAAAAGAATCAAGACGCAATGAATAGACGACTTTTTTTCTTAAATATTTCACCCCAAGATAGATGGGAATGTAACTAATATGGAGAGAGTCACAACGATTGAAAGTGAGTCAAAAAAATAGTGAGTAGAAGGAGGAGGGAGGAAAGGACAAAAGATGAACGGGATTCAATGAGATCAAATATGGCGATTGATGTTTTATTTAATTGCGTTAATCATTTTACCCCAAGCAAGGGGCGGGAATATCACTACAACTTGGAGAATTACAGGGAGTGGACATGAGAGAAAAGACTGAGTAGTGGGAGGATTCAGGAAAGGATAAAAGATGAAGTAAATTCACGTAGATCAAAGATGGCGGTTGACGCAGAGGTTTACAGGGAGTGAAAGTGAGAGAAAAGACTGGGTAGTGGGAGGAGTGAGGAAAGGTCAAAAGATGAACGGGATTCAAGAAGATAGAAGATGGCGATTGACGCTGTATTTAAATTATGTTAATCATTTCACCCCATGAGAGGCGGGAATGCCACTAGTACGCAGGGGATTACAGGGAATGAAAGTGAGAGAAAAGACTGAGTATAGGGAGGATCGAGGAAAAGACAAAAGATGAACGAGATTCAAGAAGATAGAAGATGGCGATTGACGTTGTATTTAAATTATGTTAATCATTTCACCTCATGAGAGGCGGGAATGCCACTAGTACACAGGGGATTACAGGGAATGAAAGTGAGAGAAAAGACTGAGTATAGGGAGGATCGAGGAAAAGACAAAAGATGAACGAGATTCAAGAAGATAGAAGATGGCGATTGACGTTGTATTTAAATTATGTTAATCATTTCACCTCATGAGAGGCGGGAATGCCACTAGTACGCAGGGGATTACAGGGAATGAAAGTGAGAGAAAAGACTGAGTATAGGGAGGATCGAGGAAAAGACAAAAGATGAACGAGATTCAAGAAGATAGAAGATGGC